GAAAAGAGAAGCAAGAGAGCTTAGAGAAGCTAAAGAATCCAAAGAGAAAGTAAGATATCTCTCACATAAATTATTATAATTCTTTGAATATATTATCATAATTATCATAAATTATTGTATATATATAATCGTCTTTTTTTTTTCTCTTACTAAGGCGATGCCACCCGCACCTCAAGCGAAAGAGAAAAAGCCTCTAATCTTCGAGAAACGAGAGGAACAAAAAACCAGCCCGACGCAACTCCGAAAATCAGTCGAGCAGCCGGCGAAGTTGCCCGACGCAGCTTCGCAAGACGAAGTTAGCAGTCTTCGTAAAGAAGTATCAGATTTAAAAGCGCTCGTAGATGAAATGAAGGCGCAAATGAAAGCAATGCATCACAAGCACGAGGAAGATGTGAAAAGGCTTGAAAAGCGTTTAGTAAAAGAAATTGAACAGTTAACCGAAGATTTTGACGAACAGAGGAACAGATATGCCAAATTAGAAATCGATTTTGATCGTCTCAAGAAACGAAGACGACGAGAATCAGCCGACGTTGACGAATAACCCTTTTTGTACAGTGTACAGCATGTTTTAAAAGTTACTGACTTGAAATACACCAATACGACCGAAACCAWTCCTGGGAATTTCAAATTTCACTCCAAGGTCTACAAGACTTCTGGGAAATTAATGTTTGATCTTGCCTAGAATGAATTCTGGGATATCAACCTTTGGAAAGATCAACAGGKATTCTTGGAATACAAAACCTCTGCCAAGACCCATAGGAATGCTCGAAAAAACAATTTAAAACTATATTCAGGTTTTCTTGGAATCTGAGGCTGACCAAGTCTTAAAGGAATTCTGGGTAAGGCATAGAAGACCTCCAGGAATTCTGGGAATATCAGAGCTTGACAGAGACATGRAATTGCAAACGCAAGTTCCTTGGTACTGTTATATTTCTAAAAGACTATACAGTCAACTCTCGCTATTACGGACATCCTCGGGACCGTAATTTAGTGTCCGCAGTAGCGAGAGTTATTTTCAGTCATTTCTCTGTATTTTTTTCCGGGGATTCAGTATTTTACTGTCCGCAATATCGAGGTGTCCGTTGTAGCGGGGTGTCCGTAAGGCAAGAGTTGACTGTAATATCAGAAATAGAATCGATAATTCTGAAAACAGCCAAAATATTTCAAAGTTTGGTCTCTTAACTTACTTCTTCTCGGCTCTCTTTTCGGTCAATAACTCCATCATGTAATTTTTACAATTTAGCTGTACATACAATTCTAGCTCTTTTTATACTCATGTAATAATAGGCAGTAAATGTTATATTATAGTTAGTAAAGGGTAATGTGAACGTTTTACGGTCATTACTAATCGTGACCCAATGGCGTCTCCACTACCCTCGCGGTATTTTGTCCTATTTTGTGGCCGGGTTGGTATGATACGGTTGAATCAAGGAATAAGTTGTCATATTCTTGAAGATTCACACTGGCAAAAACAAAGCAAAAATCCCACATRGAAGGTGAATTTGCATTTAAAGTAGTGATGGCTATAAATGTCCCACGTGGTAGAAAGATTCACAATCTTGTTCGCAGGCCCATACCTCAAGCAAAGGGATACGGGCCTAGGAACGAGGTTGATGAATGCCAGAAAGTGCGTAGCCAGGCGCTCCGGACCAAACCCTCTCGGAGCGGCTAGGAACGCCTGGCAAAGCAGGCCAGAAAGTGCGCTTTTTTCCTCTATCTTGTAAGGGAGGGGAGGGAAAGTCCCAGCATAACAAGCATAATTGATCAGTAAACCTGAGGTAATTCGTATTATTGATTGAAAGACGACAACTAGGAATAAGCAATATGGGTATGACGTCATCCTCCTTATGACGTCATTATATGTTAGAAGTTTAAGTGATGTCATTCTCTGGCAGGGAAAGAAAATGGTGTAATATGAGTGTACGTATGTAAGTATGTTTTGTGCTTGCAATGCAATTTTTAAGAGACAACATACAGAATAAGGCGCACACAGGAAGCCCAAGGCTAAACTTTGAACCGAATCGAGTGCAGCAGTTTAAAATTGCATTACAAGCGCAAAGAAACTTGGGATGTTAACGCGTGATGGTCATTTSCCCCTACGCGTAACTTTAGTTTCGCAAAGAAACTTTGTCCTCTGCAGTTTTATAAAACGTCCGCCATCTTGATTCTTTGACTTCTACCATGATGCACTTCGCCAAAACTAGTGTGACGTCATWTGGGGAAAGGACCATTTCCGCCGCGTCTATATATGGAAATATGCTGATCATTGTTGAATGAAAGATTAATGACATTATAAAATTTGATAAGAGAATAAAGAATATGTTTATTAGACTTTGTGTTGTTCTTAATAGCGTTTTGTCAGTATTGCAGGATTCTTATTTTTTTGCATTCCAAATAATTTAATTTTAATCTGCTTAAACTTCAATTTTGAGCTTGATTTCCGCATTCCAGACAAATTGATGATCTAATTTTGTGTTKATCGAGGATTAACTTGATCAATCAATCAAGTGGTCTGGATTTAGATTTCTTTTTCTTGGAAGGCTTAGTTTCCGCATTCCATATGTTTGTTTGCGTCAACTTTGATACTAAGCTTCGTTTCCGCATCCCTAGTTTTTAAATCTTATTTCGTGTAAACTTCTATTCTRATAAAACTTGTGTGATGAAATTTCTCGAAAACTTTGGTTTTCTGTTTATACAATTTCCTTAAGGCTGATTTACACGGCACGATTGTCTCGTGCGATTTGTAGTATACGACTTGAATCGCGCAGTGTAAATGCCCCTWHRACTTRTCTACAACAGTCGTACGCAACCTACGACTTGTAGTAGGATTTTAATAAGCACTGCTTAAAATCCTACACGACTTGTAGCAGGGAAATCGTATACTACAAGTCGCGCGCGACAAATCGTACCGTGTAAATCAGCCTTTATAGAGAGTGTTGCGCGCGGCAGACGATTCAAAATCGACAATCGAAGTTTCTCGCGAAAACTACTGTATATAACGCAAAGTTATTTTTATGATGGTTAAATGAAGTAAACTACAAAAAAGCATTTCACAATATAAAGATATTTGACATATTTATTGAAGTAAATTCTTCTGTAAAAAAATAATTAAAATTGAAGACAATACTCTGTAGTCTGTGGTTCATGAAGCCAGTTCCAGACATACAACCGATGGACTGACTAAAAGCTAACTTTAATTCCTATATATGAACACAAAAATGGTGCAGAGTTTAAACACTTTTATAGATGCTAGACTAGATGTGATTCTAGCGATGTTGAARCCGGGATCCTACTGATTTTYGGACTGTTTCCATGCTTTCGTGAAATCTGTGCCAATTTGAGTTCTGGAAAATTGCATTAATTTTTCCTCGTATTGTTCCAAGGGAATTAAGTGACAATAATTGCTAATTGTATTGTCTWGTAGATATATCTGTATTCTTGTATTTTATCGGCAAAAAAGCATTTAAATATAAGAACCGGCAAACAAATTAAAAATAAAACACTATCTTACGAAACTAGTAAAAATATTTTTGTGACAAAAATGTCCGATATAAAAAGAATACCAAACATTGCGTTAATTAGCATTTTCATCGCAGTGGGGATTACCTTGAATGAAGTATTTCAGAATTCATTTAAATTTGTTAGTAAATATATCCAGCTCACTTAGTTACTTTCCATAAAAGGTGAATCAACAGAATCAAATTGTAGTTTACTTTCATCGTTGCCGAATAACTCGGCCATCTTTGAATTTGTCCTTGGCAATGGCGCACCAGTCAGTGACATAACAGTTCTGTTAGTATCAGTCGATAATTGCGAATATGATTCTCTTGTTAGCGAAGTATAGCTGTTTTGCCTTTGATCAAGTGCATTCTGCCCCATCCATATTTTTCTTTCCTTGTCAATCGCCGCGCCTACACGACTTATCATTTCTGCAGCTGTCGATGATGGGACAACTTCATTCAAACTGCCCGGTTGTTGTTTGTTCCTTGTGGTACTCAAATTGAGTTTATTTTCCAATATCCTCGGYTCCAAAACGTTTTCTGGCTTTCCTTCGGGTTTTTTTCGACCAAAGAATAATGACTGTCTTTCTGAAGATTTCGTGTTGGAATTGTCATGTCCGAAATCCAAATTTAGTTCATCGATTGAGACAGCCATTTCAATAATCCAACWATCCAAAAAATCTTGACGTGTTAATGYTGCTAATACTCTTGATCAGTATTTCCGTCTTTGCTTGTTTTAGATTTGTATCTCCGCTTCTTAGCGTTAGATTTGTTTAACGTTTCTTTTAGTAAGAACTAAATCACGCGGTTTGCTTTTTTTAAGTGAATATTTTCGTATGCAGATTTCCAATGTCATATCATCACCATAGCRACAGTGATCKTGTTCTTTGTTCGTCTKAATCATCGTGACAAAAGGCATAAAARAMCAACTCTTCGCGGCCGAATTAGATGTTGTCAAAATGGAGCCTGCTGCGGGTCACAGCACGGACTGGCAACTTTGCTAAATAAGATAAAACAAGCCGAATGTTTACCGACAGGCTACCGATGAMAAGAAACGACAGGTTATCGGTGTTGTGTCGACAGTGTTCGCGGTTGAGCAGTTGCGGTATAAGAGGTTTCCGACGTTCTTACGAAGATAACCGCCTTATAGAGCAGTATGACACTGGTGAAAAACGCACTGCGCATGTCCACAGCTTTCCCGCTGAAATCTTCCTAATTTCCTTTGTAAAGCGATTTTTGTGAAAGTTTTTTAGAATTTATAAGCTTGTTCAGTGATATATAAGATTCAAATTTCYATCAATCACTGTTCACGATAGGTCCTTTTAGTACGTAGTTGCTATTTTTGTCTTGTCATTTCTATTTTGAGAAAATGAGGTTTTTYGTAGTRTTTTCTRTGTTGTCGCTGTAAATCGCCAGGCGCTCTGTTTACAGATTTCAAGACGCGAGCGCYCACTGGCGRGAAAGCTGTGGGCATGCGCAGTGCGTTTTTTACCAGTGTCGAGCAGTATACAAAAAGAAACGAGAGCTCGAGATCGCCGAAGTTGTTCCGACGGTGCCACGGGTATCGCTCGGTATTTTAAAAAAGAAACGATGTTGCTCCGACAGGTATCGGACAGTTTCTATGTGCAGTGCTCCAACTTCAACTTTGTTAAAACCGCTTTGATCATGTATTCAGTCAACTCTCGCCTTACGGAAACTCCCGCTACAACGGACACCTGGCGATATTGCGGACAGTAAGATACTGAATTCCCGGCGAAAAATACAAAGAAATGACTGAAAGTAACTCTCGTTACTACGGAATCTCGAGTACTGCGGACGCTAAATTACGGTCCCGAGGGTGTCCGTAATAGCGAGAGTTGACTGTACTTTGAAACTTTTTGCACGAAATTAATTCGAGAGAAAACTCAAATTGCTAAAGATCCTCATTGCTTTGTACGCCGAATTGAAGAAACGTTGCCACATTTGTTATCAAAAAAAAAAAAAAAAAAGAAAAATAAGGACTGACAACAAAGCATTCTAGACCAAGTGAGCACTCATTTTGGTCATGAAAAAATACCGGAGAACTTTTGAAAAAGATATTGGACTTTTGTCTCTTCTTTCTTTTCTCTTGTCATTGCTAGACTCCAATTTTGAATACACTATATTTACAAACTCTAAAAAAAACCTTAAAATTGTGTTTTTCCAGATAAAATCAACTTCCATATCCTGTAAACAAGCCAGGTCCTCCCTCGATTAAGCGCTCAAAATAAATATCACTTTCCGACATATGACACAGAAGTACTTTGATATATGAATTGCATGATGTTGGCCTACTCTATGATTTAAATGTTGGGCTKTGCGCAATTAATAGCGAGAAATAAGTTATATCACGAACCATGCTGGGCACAAAATGATATCGCTAGTTGTTAGGCGCCAGTTTATGTATGAAATCATTCATTGATGAACTATTCATTTGCCTTAAAAAAAGAGAGTAAAGAACGAGTAGAATAGAAAGAAAAAAGGAAAGAAATCCTGGGAAACGAACTCAATTTTTCAATTCCATTAAAAGATCAGACTCACATAAATACTTCAAACTTTGAAAGCTCGTCATAAATTGATAGGAATCTTTTCTTATTCCATGTTTTTTTCCTTTTTTAAATTTATTCGAAGGTCAATTAAGTTATTCGGAATGCTCTATTCATTAATAATAGACTGGCTGTGATCTTGCACGATGACCGGACCGCCTGGAGTAATCTTTAGTTATTATGGTCATTCCGTGAAGCTCATCACTCGAGCAATATTTAGYGYTCCTTTAGCGTATCAGCTAGTAAATTCTCTTTACATAAAAGGCTACAATGTTTTCGCCATTTTCATACTTTTAAATTGTATATTAAATCATAGCTTTCGGGCAAATTGTTCAAAGTAGACCGCCAGTTTCTCATTTTGATGCCTAGCCCGCTTTCTATAAGGCCTTTTTGAATCGCTGATTACATTTGATGAATTCAACGGGTATAAATAAGTGAATCCTTTGTTTCTGTTATTTATGATCTTTGGCTTGAACTCGGTACATGAGAGATACGATGTCTGTAAAGGCTCCAATGCTAAAATGCGAATTTTTCGACTAATTTCAATTTATGATGAAAATACAGGGAAGATATTCGTATTCAGATCAAATAAATGGTTGTAGGTTGGTCTATTCATTATGATGTAAGCGCTACTTCAACCTAAAAGTTATTTATTTTATATTTATATGTTGTTTTGTAAAATGTAACGTTTTTCATTCCGTCTTGATAATGGCTCGGTGAGCCGAAAGCTCGACAAAAATAAATAACTTTTAGGTTGAAGTAGCGCTTACATCATAATGATATTCATATTCTTCGTTTTCACTATACAACACAGCGGCCGGCAATCTTGGTGGAACTTCAACGAACAAAGGATTTCTCATTAGTATCTATTGTTCATTCCTCCAACATGGCCGCCGGTCTTTTATCTTTTGAATCTCATGGGAAGGGTTGAAAATGATCAATTGACAGATGATTTTAAGAAAATATTTTGACCGATTCGCAATTATTACTATTCTGGAAAAAAATCATTATAAGACAACATTAACACGATTCACAGAATAACGTCATATCCCAGAATATCATAGAAACTAATATAGGGCGGATCCAGAAGGGGGAGGGGAAAGTGGGAGGGGAGGTAGGAGGGGCATATAATGTCTGCGCCCGTTCAGGTCTTAAGAGATGAAACGCGTCTTTATTGCTTACATTATTTCAAAAAATTTTATAAATATTATGATACAGGTTATAAGTTATGGCCATTGCACCCCACTATCCCCCCCCCCCCCATCGT